TCGGGGACGACCAACCAGCCATGCCCAAGATAACATCAAATCTACCATGACTGAGCAATAATAAATCAGCTCTGGTACTCAAAACACTAAGAGCAATCAAACACGACCGATTAACGCGGTTCACAATAAGAGAATCTCCAACAGGAGTAGAAACATAAACAGGAGAACTCAAGGAATCCCGAGATACGCCCAAATGCGGGGCAAAATAAGAGAACACATAAGAATAAGTGGAGCCTGGATCGAATAAAATCGATGCATCTCTATGACAGACCAGGATAATACCTATGATGACAGAATCAGAGGCGACAACCTCAGTACGGGCATGAAGGGCATAGTATCTGGCCTGGCCTCCCCCTCTAGGGCGACCTCTACCTCCCCGACCTCCACCCCTAGCTGGCGGGGCAGGTGGGGTAGCAACTGGTGCTGTAACCATAGCCTGGGAATTTTGTGGGGCACGCTAAGGCTGAGAAGTCTGTGGAGGTGCACCCCTCCTAAGTATGGGACAATCTCTCACCATATGGCGTGTGTCACCACACTCAAAACAAGCTCTGGGAGGGCGCAGCTGCTGTGACTAGCCACTGAAAGCACCTCGTGCAGGAGGCGTACTAGATACTGAAGGCGCATAATAAGGCTCCTGGGGTCTAGGAAGAGCTGGAATACCACTAGCTGCTGGAAGAGCTGAGTGAACAGGGCGACTTACATAACCCCTACCATGACGAGCTGCAGCTGGGGCACGGGCACTAGAATAGTGGCCCGACTCTCGAGACCTCTTGGCCTCCCTATCCTCTCTATCCCGAGCATGCATACCCTCTACTCTCCTAGCAATGCTCACCACCTGCTGATAAGAAATATCCATCTCCAACTCCCGAGCCATACTAGACCTGATGTTGGGAACGAGCCCCTCAATAAACCGGCAAACTCTCGCACGAACTGTAGAAACCAAAGCTGGTGCACGCCTAGCCAAGTCAATGAAACAGACAGCATACTCCGAGACAGTCATAGTACCTTGAGGCTTTGAGGAACATACTCTCTCAGGAACATATCTGAAAACTGAGTCCAAGTTAAGGAAGATGCCTCGTCTGGACTGTCTAACTCATAGGTACGCCACCACTGATAGGCGGCTCCTCGAAGCTGGAAGGTAGTGAAGGAAACCCCGTTCGATCCTGATATACCCATGGTATGGAGGATACGGTAGCACTACTCTAGAAATCCCAAAGCATCATCTGATGCTAGTCCACTGAATGTAGGAGGCTGGTACTTCTTGAACCTCCCAAGCCTCCTCTGAAGCTACTGCCCTCTCCTCGGGCTGAACTGGGGCTACAAGCTGTGCCAGTATAATCTCTGGGACCTGCTCAACATGCACTCGCTGCTCAGGAGTGCGGGCGGCGGGAGTCTAGGCTCCTCCCCCGGCCTGGGATGTGGTTGCAGCAAGGGGAAGCAACCCTGCCTGAGCTAGAGTGGTTTACATACTCATGAACTGTGCAAGAGTCTCCTGGAGAGCTGGAGTAGTAGTAGCAGTAGGCGTATCAGGCGCCTGGGCTCCGGCTGGAGCTGCTGGTGGCTCCTCTGTAGCAGCTCGCGCGGGTGCTCTGGCTGCACCGCGTGTGCGTCCTTAGCCTCTACCCAGGCCCCGACCTCAGACGGCTCTCGCAGGGAGCGCGGGTGTCCGGTCACCTCCGGTAGCACGTGTCCTCACCATCTGTGAGAGAATGGAAGATAGAAGTTTAGAATTTCGATATCAAAAATCTCGCACGACAAGGAAATCAAATGAAGTGGAATTTTTCTTAACAGTCACATAGCCTCTCGTAGATAAGCACAGATGTCTCCGTACCGATCCACGAGACTCTAATAAACCGGCTTGTGATTCATGACTCCTATGAACGTAGAGTTCTGATACCAACTTGTCACGACCCATGTTCGCCCTCCGTGAACTGTCGTGATAGCACCTAGTCTCTACGATTAGGTAAGCCTAATAATTTGCGAAAAAGAAACGAAATACGAAAATGAATAAAAACTGAAGATAAAATAAAATAGAAACGTTTAAGATGCCGCTCGGCATAAACCAATACATGTTCTCAAAAACCGAAGCAACTCCCAAAACCCGGAATCTCATGAAATCACAATCTGAGAAGCACTACATAAGGTTCTAACTCAAGAATGTCTAGTCAAAGAAAGTACAGAAGATCTATATCTAACAGAGATAACAGAGAGACAGAGACTCCTCGGTCTGCGGACGCGGCAAATATACTTCTAAGTCTATGAAGGTCGCCTCGCCTCACTAACGGTATGGCTGAGCCGATGAACCTGGATCTGCACACGAAAAGCATATGCAGGAAAGGGCATGAGTACACCACGGCGGTTCCCAGTAAGTGCCAAGCCTAACCTCGGTCGAGTAGTGACGAGGAAGTTCAGGGCCCTACCGGTCATATACATATATATAACAAAGGATAAAAAAAATAGTACGAGGTAAACATAGGATAATAAAGGTAAAACAACTGCAACGGAGAGAAAATCACAGAAAGAAAGTAATCCACACAGAGATGGCAACAGGGGATCTCCCAGGATATCGTCTTGTAGTCCCAAATGTAAATATACAATAGATCTCCCGGGATATCGTCCCGTAGCCTAGTTCATAAAGCGCAGGGGATCTCCAGGAATGCCAATCCGTAGTCCCAAATGTAAATATCCAATACAGGGGGATCTACCGGGTGCTGTCCCGTAGTCCCAATATAAATATGCAGGGGGATCTCCCGGAATACCAATCCGTAGTCCCAAATAAACAAGCAAGGGGATCTCCCGAGATATCGCCCGTAGTCCCAAAGTAAACACACAACAGCATCACGAAGAATATTCAATTCTATCCAATTTCATACCGAGGAAAAATAGGTATTTCTAACCTACCATGCCGCACAGAATTCAAATAACGCAGTTTGAGCAAGTAAAGCAATTAAGTCACTTAGACATACTTCCCTAAACTAACAGTAGGCTTAAATTGCAAGTAATGTACACAAGGAAGAACACACAATTATAGTTACTTAATGAAAGCAGGATTTTCAACAATTAGCACATGTACGCACTCGTCACCTCACGTACAAGGCATTTCATATATCAACAAATACCAAATCCTAAGGGGAGTTCCCCCACACAAGGTTAGGCAAGCCACTTACCTCGAACCAGCTCAATCAACTCGCAACCACGTTCTTGCCATGAGTACCCGATTCCAAATGGCCCAAATCTATTCAAATTAATTGCATAATGTAAATATAACTTCAAGTAGCTAATTCAACTAATAAATTCGAAGCTAACACGCGAAATTAGGAAAATCTCCCAAAAAGTTCCCTGGGCCCACGTCTCGGAATTAGATAAAATTCGCAAAAGTAGGATCCTTACACTCTCACGACTTCGTATATACCAAATACATCAAAATCGGACCACAAACAACCCCTCAAATCCCTAAATCAAGATCTCCAATTTCAAACCCTAAACCCCCAATTTTAACCCTCATTTTCCATAAATTTCTTGCCAAATCAGTAGAATAATACCATATAAACGAGTTTTGGTTCCAAAAATCTTACCTCCTCGAAGCTCCCTTGAATCACCTCTCAAAAACCTCCCAAAAAGCTCAATTCTCGGATGAAAATGGTGAAAGAATGGACTGAAATCGCGACAGAAACCTTATATAGGTTCTGGACCAGGGTTTCCGCACCTGCGACCTTTTCCTCGCACCTGCGGACCCGCACCTGCGGTCCCAGGTGCGCATCTGCGAAAAATCTCTTAATGCGCTGGGCCGCACCTGCGCTTCACCTTCCGCACCTGCAGTCTAGCAGGTGCGCTCAACCTCTCGCACCTGCGACTTCTGGTCTTCTAGTGCATGGCCGCATCTGCGGCTGCTCTCACGCTTCTGCGATCACGCACCTGCGGTCCCCAATCCGCAGGTGCAGTTATGACAGAAGTTCAGCAGCTGAAGCTGCTCAAACAAACTCCCAATTCTTCTGACAACCTTCCGGAATCATCCCGAGGCCCCCGGGACCTCAACCAAAAGTACTAACAAGTCATATACCACTATTCAAACTTGTACCAACCCTCGGAACACTCAAAACAATGCCGAAATACCAAATCACCCTAGGATTCAAGCCTAAGGATTCCAAAACTTCCAATTTTCGCTTTCGATCAAAAAGTCTATCAAACCTCGTTCGAATGACCTGCAATTTTTTCACACATGTCCCAAATGGCACAATGGACCTACTCCAACTTCCGAAATTCCATTCCGACCCCGATATCAAAATCTCACTATCGAACCGGAAACTTAAAAAATTCGACTTTCGGCATTTCAAGCCTAATTAAGCTACGGACCTCCAAAACACAATCCGAACACGCCCCTAAGCCTGAAATCACCCAACGGAGATAACGGAATTGACGGAATTCCATTCCGAGGCCGTCTTCACACTACTCCGACTACGGTCCAAATTCTAAAGCTTAAGCTCTAATTTAGGGACTAAATGTCCCAAAACACAAAACGAATCCTCCCGACTACTCACAATAGCAAAAACAAACACGGGGAATGCAGTTAATAGGGTAACGGGGCATTAATTTATAAAATGATCGGCTGGGTCGTTACTGACGGCCAGCCACCAGTACCACCAATTAGGGCCACGAGAGGTCGGGGCCGTGGTAGAGTTCGGGGCCGCGGTAGAGGCCGAGGTGCAGCTAGTACAGAACCTAGAGCAACACCTATTGACCCACCAGTTACTCCAGCTCAAGAGTAGGTTCCAGATATAGTTGAGCCAGTGGGACTAACTCAGGCTCCAGCTATGCCTATTATGATTCTAGGCCTTCAGGAGGCTTTGGCCCAGATATTGACTGTTTGCACTGGCCTTGCTGAGGCAGTTTTGGCTCAGGCCGCACCTAACACTTCTCAGTCCATGGGGGTACTCATACCCCCGTCGCCCGTACACCAGAGTAGGTAGTGCAGGGACTCCAGATACTGGGGGTACTACCAGTCCAGCCGGTTGCAGCTGCCCAGGCCCAGTTGGGTCCTATTATGAATGACGAGGAGCAGAAGAGACTAGCGAGTTTTGGGAGAATCCATCCTCCATCATTTAGTGGAACTGAGTCAGAGGATGCTCCGGATTTTTTGGACAGATGCCAGCGGATTCTTCGTACAACGGGTATTCTTGAGACTAGTGGGGTCTTATTTATTACCTTTCAGCTGACCAGGGTAGCCTTCAAATGGTGGGGGGGGGGGGGGGGGGGTCTTAGAGAGGAGGCGA